TTTTTTTAGAGGGACATAATTAGAAGAAAATATTATGTAGTGTTGAAAATATTTTTTAGAGAACTATTCCTACATCGTATTGTCAATTAACAAGATCTGTTTAATTTCTGTAGTGTCAAGTCTTAGCATGTATATACAGGCGGAATACAGAGGAATGCACAAGATTTACAACACGAAAGAGCGACGATCCTACTGTGTGTATGGGTGACGTGCATAAAAAAAATGTCATTTTCTAGCCTAAAAAATTCTTAAACAGAGGATCTACACCGTCGGCAAAGCACCAGCAGGTGGTTTCGTCTCTGTTGTCACCACCGGCGGCGAAGCATCATGATCATCAGCCGGCGGCTCCGTCTCTGCTACCGTCGCCGCGACCACCGCAGGCAAAGCGTCATCAGCAGGCGTTCCACTCTCCACCGCCGGCGCTTTGGTAACAACCTTCCGCGGCGGCGAGAGGTCGCACCGGCAGAGAGGGCAGCTCCGGTGCGAGTGCAGCCACATGTCGATGCACTCCACGTGGAACACGTGCCTGCACGCCGGGAGCCGCCGCACCAGCTCGCCGGCCCGCAGGTCCTCCAGGCACACCGAGCACGCGGTGTCGCCCCCCGACTCAAGGTCCACGTCGACGTCGCCACCGTCGGCGCCGTACGCGAACGTGGGCAGGGCGTCGATCGCGGCACGCCCAAGCCCGAACCGTCGAGCCGAAGCCGGCGCCGTGGACTGGTCTCGCTCCGGCGCGCCTTCGCCGTCGCCTGGCGCACCGGCGCACCAGATGTCGGGCGCGAAGTGGTCGACGGCGCCGAAGGCCGCCAGCGCGAGGCTGGCGAAGGCGAAGGCCTTCCAGACGCTGCGGAGGGCGACGGCGAGCACGCAGAAGAGGAGCAGCCACGCGCATGTCGCCGCGATGCCGTAGCAGGCGCGGCGCCCGCCGTGCTCGCCGCCGCGGAGCCGCGCCATGAGCCTCGCCAACATGGTCAGCCTGCTCTTATCGCCTGAGCTGTGACGGTCAACTGCGGCCGGGCGAGGTTGCTCGTGGTGTGGAGCTTGGTGGTGGTCCGTGCGGGAAGAAGTAGGCAGCGGTTGCGCGCGGTGGTGGGGTGGTGTTCGCTTCCGGGGAGCGCGGCGGCGGCGGCGGAAGATTAAGTGGTGTATTACAAGCGCCTGTGCTGTGCTGGTCAAGCTTTAGCTTGACGCGCCGGCGGCCATTAGGTTATTGCCTGACTGTTTGACGAGGAGGGCACGTTTAAGGTTAGTAAAATGGCCCGTTGACGGCACGGCCGAGCTGACAGAGACTGTGTTACGCAGCGCAGGCGATACGTTTCTTTGCTTGCCGCCGCGGATAGGGTAGCAGCAGGGAGTAGCGCACATCGTTGTGCGCTGCTGCTACCACCCAGACCTAGCTGATGAGGTCAACAACGGCCGACGTCGCCGACGAAAAGGAAAAGGAAAAAAGGCCAGTCACGTCAGTGTGATCAACTTGAAGATGCATGCTGTTGTTTTTCTAGATGGAATGACAGGATTCGTTAAGACAAAATCCACTTTACACGCTTGAATTTGTCTCGCCAAAATTACAAAAACTTGTCTGTAACTGTTGAAATATGTTGCCGGTCCGCTCTCCTTTATCAGTTTGTTTGGACTTTCGGATGAATTTTCCCAAACATGACTTCAAATATGAACACCCGTTGCTTCCCAGTTGACCCTTTCTACATGTTTGACTCGTGCTTCGTGTTTGTCAACGGTGCCACACCATCTGCTTTCCGTCTTGTACGTACTGGTACCAACTGGACAGGTGCTTGCACAGCTGGCACTGCACATGGCACAGCGATGTCGTTGGCCACCACATGAATCACAGAGCCGGTGGGCGAGTCGTGCGTTACCGTACTTGACTTTGTAGTATAATAATAATCCGTGAAACTAAACGATGAGTACTTCAGAAGCTAAACTGAGTAGCTGGAGCGCCTCCACACGCGCCCCCGCTTCAGCCCGACGCCGCAGACTTCGCCGTTGCTGTCCCCGGCGCAAAACCCCCACCGCACCCTCCCGCTCACCGGAGGCGTAGAAAAAGAAGCCCGTCCACATTGATCTTCAGTGACCCCGCCGGCGGTTTGCACCGTCGGACAGCACGGGCAGAAAAGCGATGGCGCCGGCTTGCCAGGGCGCTGACAGAACTCCATGTACGGGCATCTGGAGACGACCGCATCAGCTCAGCTGGCGTGATCTGCTCTCCAGCACCGACACCATTGCGGTTTGCGGACGAACCGACCACTTCACAGAAGGGCGACGATGAACAGCAGTCGCGTCTCCTTGTGCCAAGCAGAGTGCTGGCTCCACCACAACCATCTAGCACCAGGTTTGCACCCATGCCCGGGTAGAAAATTGTACAGACCACCACAACCAAGCAGAGTGCAGACCACACAAGTTCGTAGTAGAAAATTGTACAATGCAGTCAGTGCTTATACTGTACTTTACACACACACACACACAGACAATTCGGATAATATAATATGGACTCGCGAGAGTGAACACTTTCAGATAACAGGAGATGATCCACAACAGTTTTGCACAAATGGGCCATATATTAAAACAATTATGCACCCATAGACACAAGGGAAAAATATATGTGATGTGATATAGTTTATGTATACAACAATGCCGACCGGTCGCTGCCTCGACAACCCGTCAGAAGCAGCGCGACACGCCTGTACACAACACGGGGATCCCGTGGACGTATGGATCATTTTAATCGATCGATTATACATCCGAAGAAAGCAAATTGATAATACCCAGCTGCTTCTTCGCTCTACTATACTAGTGGCACAAATGAACGCCATGTGATCATCTACTAACACAAGCAATAATATTGTACAAAAAAGATGACCCACGGAAAAAAAAGTTGGTGGCCCTGGATGGGTCATGGGACAGGATTCCTCTGCGCACCAGGCGGAGCGGTGGGCATCGGGAAGTTGAACGGACTATGTGTGCCGCCGAACTGAGGGGCCTCCACATATGGGCTCTGGACAAAAAGAAGAATAACATTTCTGAGCCTTCTGTTTTATGGAAGCATATATAAGCATTTCTACTGTGAGTTGATAAAGAGAGCTGTGTGTGTCAGTGTGGGGGTACAACCAATGGAACAAGCAGTGATAGTGAGTTTGCTGATATGCGAATTAACATCAATTTTTTTTAATTTCTTTTGGCGTCTGTCAAAAGTTTTGTCGGTTAGGTAATGGATAAAAGATAAATCTTATTTGGCAGTTAAGTGTTGGCCTGTTGGTGATGGGTCTAGAGCAGATAGCTAAGATCATTTGGAAAGCTCACCGTACCTGTCAATCTGTCATCTGATCTAGTGTGATGGTAGTAATAAACCGTGTTTGCATGTAACAAAAAATTGGGTTAACTAAAGCTCGATACAGCTTGAACTCAATAAATCATGACAAAGTCCATTTTTGGAATCTAATTTTGATTTTTTGTATCTAATGATAATTCAGAAATCAGCCATGTATATAAACTTGCATTTTAATATGCTACACATGTCACAACAATGATCTCAGAAGATGGTAGGCACCTGAGAATATGGTGGGTTTGCATCGAACGGCTGCACCCTTGGAGATTTTGGTGATGAATCCGGAGAGGTGCCAACATTATCATCCAAATTATTTATCGTATGCTTCATTGTTGCTGCTTCTCCTTCACTATTGAGCTTAACACGCTATGTCGAAATAACCAAACTTAGTTCACACCAAACAACTTACATATCAGAGCACACAAGTGAATGACTGGATATACAAAGAATGATACCTGGAATATTTTGCCTAAAGTTTTCAATCCTTTAGCTCGAGCTCTTAGTTCCTCTCTCTTGACATTGCTCTCTTGAAGAACCTGGTATTGGTAGAATGTTACAACTTATGATAATGAGTAAGATTACAAAAACAGAGCAGCAAGGATAGTGCCAACATGAAGACGAACCATTTGACAGACACGTGACAGAGTTGCCTCTATATCAGCAACGTTAAGCTTCCATAAGGAATCCACCATAACCTTTTTATGACTTTGCATGTAAGCTTCAAGTTGCTCATCAGTGTAATTACATTCCGAACTGAGATGTTTTTTTAAATCTTCCTGCAACTGCATAAGAGCTATTGCACCTACAGAAACAAAACAAATTTCAAGCCAAAATATAAATATATATTGCTAGCACCAACATTGCAAATATCGAAATCAACACTGCTATTCAAGAAACTAAATAATAAAGTAAGCTTTACCTGTTGCAGCTGTCACTTGGGATTTAATAAAATGACCTTTGTTCCTAAACCATTCAGCTATAAAAGGAACCCCCAAAAGGATAGCTTTCTTTCCAAGCTCCTTGGCAGCTTGTCTTGAATACATGTAACCGATAGTACTCAGCATATCAATCCCATATGCTGCAGGACATGCAAAATCAGAAAATAACATTGAAAAGTGAAGTCTCAAAGTTTGATTTATGTTGAGGAATACACAAGGAAAAAGTGGCCATACATTTCCAGAGCTACTGGGAAGGAATAAAAGCAGAAAAGGCAGCAAGAGGCAATTACAAAGTTTAAAGGAAAAATAGACAGAGTAGTTAGCAAGTGAGGAAAAAGTTTGTCACCTGCATCAGAAAGTCTAGCCACCTCAGCCTCAGCAACCTGGATAAATTCCTTTTTGTTTCCTTGAACATAAATGTGCAATCTATTCTTCAGTTTCTCTGCAAGTTTCTCCTCCCTTTCCTTTTGTACAGCCTGCAGTAGTTGTTAAGAGCCTTAAATATACGACAATATGAAGAGTATGGTACCGCTTAGTACTTTACATAATTACAGCACTGAAAAAAAAGACACATGTTAGCTAACATCTCTTTTTTTATTCAATACAATATAACGTCACAAAGCATGCTTTTGCAATCTAACAATTAAGCCATCAGCCCCTAATTTCATCTAATTGCTACAGCAAAGACTAAACAGACCTATGCAGAGACTGAAAAGCGTAAAGACTGATCTTCTGCATGAGAAATGTCATACTGAAAGAAAAGTGTATCATGCAATGTTTGAGTTTCACTAGTTTACCTTACATATATAGAGATGGGCCAGGGGTTGAAGTACAAAAATGTGTATAACATTGAAAATGACACGGCTGTACTAAAATGAGAAGCGTAACGAACGGGCAAACAGGAACACCAAGAGGTGACATAATATACATCCTAACATTCAACTTTCATTATGTTCTTGGGTTTGAAGGCTTTCCCAGAGGCATTGTGGCCTTTAGTGTAGCAGAGGAATTGTGCTAGAATTTTAGCATGTACTATGGCTTGTTTGTACAATATACAGTTGGAAGCTACAAAAAGATCCTAATCTTCGAAGGAATATTTCTGAATCTCAAAATCAAGAAAGCACATAAACTATTCTGTTAACAAGGACATACTCGCATTTTCTCTTGTAACTTCCTTGCACCAATCTGTGGATCTTCACCAAAAATATCAAGCGAAGCCATGGATGCCATCGCCAGTTGACCAATGTAATCCTCAAAAATCTCACTACCGAATAACATTGCAAAAATTGCTGCTGGATCAATCATTGCTTCCCTGTATAATGATGGCAGGAAACTAGTAAGAAGGAAATCATCTCACCAGTTTCTGCAGCATATGAGACGAAACCACCAATTACATTGTTAAACCTATATCTAGGAAACAACGGAACAATTTGGTAGTCAACTAAGCTAATACATCTCCCAAGAACACCCTAATTCTTCGAAATTATTCCAACAAGTTCACAGTAAGTATTTGTGGGTCACACTTACGTTGAAATACCAGATTTCCCATCTGAGTCATATGCTTTACGCTGTGCAGGGTCACTAAGTACTTGGTATGCCTCCCCCAGTTCCTGCAATTATGGTAGCTTTGGTAAACACACTAAATAAAAGGATAACTCTGCAAATCACATCTTCCTGTCTTAGAAAGCCAGATAGTGTTTTGAAGTGACAAGATGCACTGCAAAGTAGCACTACTGCAGCAAAAAAAAAACTACTCGTCGTTAGACATGGAAATACAAATGTTCTTGGTAATTCACGAGTTTGTAGTTGAGTTCCATGGACTGTAAGATGACTTTCAACATCAGGGCAAAAAAAAAAAAAACAGTTGCAGCATCAGTTTGTTATTCCGCAATCAACATCGATGCCCGTTATCACCTGATGCAATAGCTGCTTTGGTATGCCCCTTCCTGTCCCTGAGCTAGTAACAGGGGCAGCAACTATGGTGACCGAAGGACTTTTCCAAGTGAAGCACTGTAATACAATTCTGATTCCTACCAGCAAGGCAGGAGGAAAGAACTATCGATGTCGCTACCACCATTGGCATTCATCATCCATGTAAAAGCTGACTAAATCCCTGAAAGGCTTGCAGGGCGCCAAATGAAGACGCATGATCCCCCTTTTATCTACCACTAATTTACATCAGTTCTGACACTTGAATAGCTAACTGCCTGATCAGTCGCTGGCAGCACTGTTGGCGATAGTTACAGCAGAATTTAGATGATGCTGATGTCTCACGGTCACAAGAGAAGTTATTGGCAGTGGGGAAGCAAACAGCGGCATGGGAGAGGGAGCACTTGCCTGGAACTTCTCGGCCGCGAGGGGGTCATTGCGGTTCTTGTCGGGGTGGACCTGCCTCGCCTGCAACAACAACGACACCAGCAAACCGGAATGAGAGCGAAGTTCGCCGGTGGAGACGGAGCGGGACAGGAAAGCGCGCGCGGCAGGGCGTGGCAGTGGCACGACCTTGACGTAGTAGGCCTTCTTGATGTCGGCCTCGGTGGCCGCCGGGCTGACCCCGAGCACGTCGTAGTACCCGGTCTCCCGCACCATCGTCGAGCCAACCAATCGACCGATCACTCAATCAATCAGACAGACAGCCGCCGCTCCGGCGCCGGATCTCGCGCGCCGCCTCCTCCCGAGATCTCCTGCTGCTGCTGCTGCTCCGCGTCGCGGCGTGGTGGGCGGGGCGGAGGAATGGGAGGCCGGCGCGGGTGTGGCGGCTGAGGGGGGTGGGATCCCCGGCCGACCATAAAGGGCGTGGAATGGAAAGGGGCGAATAATTTCGTTTTGCTGCTTTCTTTTTCGCCGGCTCCGCGTGGAATAGTGGGGGGATGAGTCACGTTGACATGGCGGAGAAGCCCGCCCGATTTGGAACGCCTCCAGTTCCAATGGGGCGGGTTGGATTTGCGGCGATGCAGTAGAGGTGGTGGACAACGTGGCCCACCGGCGACCGGAGACCGGAGCCGAGCCACCAGAGTAGACTGGTGGGTGACCGGAGCCGGTGGAGGAGACGCCCGGCTTGGGTTGGGTTTGGACATGGAGGCGGTACTGTAGAACCTTTAGACCCAGGGCCGGCCCTGGGCCAGGGCAGCGGGGGCGACGGCCTGGGGCCCAGCCAAACTAGGGGCCCCGACCCAGGCCATATATATATATGCTTGAGGTACAGCCATATAAGTGGAGAACCAACAAGGCCTGAGAGGCCCATCGTGATATGTATGTAGACAAGAAGCCCAAAGAATGCACACGCTGAATTCGTTCTGAATAACGATCGGTTGTAAGTATATGTAGGAGTACGTGTTTGCGCGGAGCCATGGCTGTCAGTTTTTTTTTCTTTTGACCTTTCCTCGCTGTTAGTTTGATTGCTTCTTCAATTCTCCAAACCCAATCGATAGCAGTATTCACAAGCTCGGGGCCTATTGCTTCGTTTCCCATCATAAACGGAGGACGGAGCGGCCCAATGCCGTGAAACTCTGCCGCAGTCCGGAGCATTGCAACGGCTGCCGACTGCGCCTAGGGCGAGGAAAACCCGAACGAGTGAGGTAATTTATTTTATGAATCGTTCAGCCCTTAATTTTAATCTGATGGATGGAAATTAAGTTGTATTCTTGTTTTTATAACACTTGCACTCTTTGAGGAGATAGCTGGTCTTGGTCACGTGGTCTCAACGTTTTGTACTTGGATAGTTGTAGAGCACACCAGTGTTGGAGCACACATTATTGCTGCTAATTTACCCCAAGTTGAGGTGTTCTCCTTTTTGTTTTTACAAATATGTTGCCTAAAACATTTATCTACTTCTGAGAAGAGAACAAGGAGAAAATGAGCACATCAGTTAACTAAATTTTAGAAGGAGATTATGAATAAATTTATTTTTTGGAATCACACTACTTTATAATCTAAAGCAATTAGATGCCAATATTATTGAAGCACCACAACCTATTATTATCATATACTTCCTCCGTAAAGAAATATAAGAATGTTTAGATCACTACTTTAGTGATCTAAATGCTTCTATATTTCTAAGAGCGTTTAGATCACTAAAGTAGTGACCTAGACGCTCTTGTATTTTTTTTATAGAGGAAGTACTATTTACAAGGGGAAAATATATCATAGTTTATGGCTTTACCAGATTTTTTTCATATCAAAGTATGGAATTCTTTTTTTCCTCCACCGCGGCCGCTGGGCCCACTCATGGAGTCCGCCCTGGGGCCCTCGAAACTCCAGGGCCGGTCCTGTTTAGACCAAAAGAAAAAAAACAGTTTGTCTCTCTCAAAACCGCTTTATAGATAAAGCAGCTATCAAATTTATACTGTAATAAAATAAATAAAAGAGACAAAAACATCAAGTGGCCGATAGATTGGCCTAGAGTCGACGGTGCAAGGCGGCGAGCTGCTACGGTCACCGGGTCCATCATGTTGCCAAGCCGGTCCCAATCTCATTGTCTAGATTCAAGATGTAAGTGGACATGTTATTGGGCATTGTGGGATTTGCCCGCACTAACCATCATTCCTTACGCGGGATTATGTCAAAGTCCATTTAATATTTATGTGGTTACCGTGGCGTCCACATATGACCATTTATACAGTGGTTCATCCATTTACTTAACACATCAGATAGCCTGTTACATAAAAACCATCAGTTCATCCATTAGAAAAATGAACGGCGTCAAAACTAAAGCCTGGCACACATACAGAGGCGAGTTTCAAGGATTCAGAGACAAACACATACAAAAGCGAGCTTCAAGGATTTAAAGACAAACGCATACAAAAAGAGAGCTTCAAGCTTCAGAGACAAGCTTATTAGAATCATCACCTTCAGGATGAATGACTTCTGATGGCCCCTCGATTATTGATAACAGCACTACTGCACTAGTGCGTGCCAAGGATGAAGGATTCAGAGTTCATCAACCTTCAGACGACATCCGCCGGTCCCATCTCCCGTAGGTTGCGTCGCAGCAGAGGGGAGAGGCGGATGAGCGAGAGGGAAAGCAGAGCATAGGTACTATGAAATAGTTGCCGAAGACCTCCTTCGCCGTACCTAGCTGCACCTGCCGTCAAAACCATCGTCGCCATCGACGGAGTTGAAGAGAGTATCGACAGGATTGGAGAGATACTAGAGGAGGCGCTCTGCAAGGCTCGACTCGGTCCTCGGCGCTTCCCGACAGCGGCCTCTTCCAGAAACATGGCGGCGAGGTCTCCGACGCTTCCCGACATCGGCCTCTTCCAGAAACATGGCGACGACAGCGGTGCATGGAACGAAGGGAGAACTAGAATGGGGAGGTGGTGCCGGTGGAGACAGCGGCGATGATGCCTATGGCATGGCGATCGCGGTGCGACTGTGCGGGGGAGAGGATTGGAACGGTGTGCATCGAGTGTTGTGGTCGGCCGCTGGCTTCATGGGCTTTTCTGGTCTGTCCATTTGTGCCATTTAATTTTTCTGGATATCCACCAACGCCGTTTGATCCTTTTTTGGTGGATGGCATATGTGGGACTAGTGGGACCCACCGCCATATACATCCTGAGTCTAGATAACAGGTGCCGGTGCTTAAAAATGCCGAAAATTTGAATATAGAGTTAGTGGCATGCTGTAGGAAGAGGTGTCTCCCCCTCCCGATCTGGTATGCCTGGGTTTCTAGAAACTTTGCCAGGTCCCAGGCCTCCTAGTCAAGTCTCATAGCCTCGCGAACAATAGATCAAAGAAATCGAGCAGCAGAGCAGACAAAGAAGATGTCGGTCCCAGTCTTTGGGACACCACAAAGAGGACATAGTTCATTGCCAGGCCCGTTCCGCTTGGCCCTCTGTCCCCGAAGGGTGGCGATCCCATAGAAGTTGTCACACAAAAAACTTGATCGTGAGGGGGAGAGATGCTTTCCATAGAGGTGTGGTCCATGTGAGAACTGAGCACCATATGTCGACCCAATAGAGAAAAACCCCGGGGGAAATAAGCGCCAAGATATGGCATCCTGATAGTCCGGAAACAACGACGAAAGGTCACTAAAGGGCAGCCCAAGCAACATTTCACTCATGTCCAAATGTTCGTCCGAACGTGATATCCCAAGTCCCATTGTGGGAGGTCGGGGACACCAACAGTCGATGTCTGTTCAGATAGCAAACAACCCCAAGAACTCAATGCAGGATAGGGCTCCACCTACCCACTAGTCCAGCTAGAAGACGGTCCTATTTCCATTACCTTTGGAGATAGAGAGCCCTACGTTGGGGATATCGCTTATCGGAAACTTATCGGTCGACTCATGATAAGGGGTAAATCGGCCAGTTTATCGGCATATCGGCCGATTTATCGCCATATCCGCTGATTTATCGGCCGATTTATCTTATCAGTTAGACAACGGTAAGCGATAAATCGGCCGATTTATCGGAATATCGGAAGATATCTTGAACAGTCTGCCTAAGAAAAATCTCATTCTTGATCTGACTTTTAGAATTGAGATCCATCCCTACGCTCACGCGCTAGAAGGGGGCAGTCCTGCAAATACTTTGCTTTAATAAGTTGTAGCCAAAGGCCCCTCCGTTCATGTAGGATCCTCCAAAATCATCTCAACATAAGGGGCACATTCATGCGACGGGATGCAAGAATACCTAGACCCCCCAGGTCTTTGGGCAGGCAGATATCAACCTACTTGATCATAAGGTATTTCTGGCATCCATCAGCCGTCTGCTAGATGAAGCGTGATACCTCCTTATCAAATGAGCTATGCGCCCCTTCTGACACAATATATAACCCATCATATATATGGGGAGACTAGAAAGACACGAGTTGATAAGCACATTTTTACTCCCTTTGGACGTAAATCTACCTCACCATGGCACGGACCTAGAGGCGACCCAACTAGGGCAAAAGTCTTGGTTGGGGACCCTCGATTCAGATAGTGGCATACCTAAGCCCGCAATGGGGAAAGAGGACAACTTGCAATTAAGGTTGTTTGTAATCCGCTACCGACCGTCAACAGATTAACCTAACACTACCACCTCACTCTTATCAAGATTGATCTTAAGGCCAAATCATGGCTTTAAAGCAAAAGAGAAAGAACTTGAGGTTAATGATATCAAGTTCTGACCAGCCAAGCATGATCATAGTGTCATCCGCATATTGAAGATGAGTAACACCACCTCCAGGGATAATATGCTCAACCACACTAGAGATGTGGTCAACCATCCTAGCCTTAATGGGTATGATGGTGCCTTCTCCTTTATATATAAAAAAGAAGTCATCGTTTTGTCTAAAGTCAAACTTGAGAGATATACATGCATATTCTATTTTTTGATGTAGTATATACATATTTACTACTCTGAACTAAAACCACGACATTTATTTCTGGATAGGAGGGAGTAAGAAATATGTATCCATATTATATTTATTTGATATAGTAGATGTTGTATATTTTGAATACTGATTTCATAGGTGTTGGTATTATTATTATATTTTCTATAAACTTGGTTAAAGTTAAGAAATATATTGGTTTCAATTTTTTGTTAGAAGGGAGTAGATACTTTGGCATGGGATGATGTGACGAAATACTCTGTGAAGAATCAAAA